ATCGGCCAAGAAAATTGCAATCGGTGCATCTCTAATATAAACCAATTAAACACTATAATAGTACCTTAATAACACAGACCAGTATTTTACATGGTTTATGAATGTAATACTAAAATTAGATTTATGCACCAAGGGCCTGTTTCATAAAACAAGTTCACCAAATAAGCCGGGTTTATTTCAGTTAGTCTAGACTTATTGTCAGTTGATTTGGTTCAAAATAAGTCAAGACTAACTGAAATAAGCCTGGCTTATTTGGTAAACTTGTTTTATTAAACAGGCCCCAGTGCAACTAATCTGTGTGGGGTTTTTTTAATTCTCAACAATGCCATTTTGACCTCATGTGAGGCTTATTTTCTGGAAATACGGTACTTTCACATCACCACTGAAGTACATACTTTTAATGTATGGAAGATAAATTGAGACACAACCAAAAGCTGCTAGAAACTAGAATGCATTACATTCTCACACAGTTTCTACCTTTCCCTCACTTTTCCACGTCAGGAAGAATCCAAAAGCATCCACTTTGAAAAAACAGTTTGATTCAAAGACAAGCGGATCCTGCAAACAACGGAAACAAAGCAGAAATAAACACTGAGCTTCATCTGAAACATGTTTGTTAGTACATCACAACTTTATTAGACCGTGATGCGCGTGTAACTCTAACATTTACAGCACTTGTTCTATAAAGGGTTGCATTACACTATTAAGGTTCACTGAGAGAGCTGCTATGAGAAACTCTGTCATTATTTCTGTCAATTAGGAAAGCAGAAATTAATTTTCTATTTATCTTCTGCTGAATTAACTCTCCCTGTTGCATCTTGGGAAAAAATAAACAAAGTAAAATAAACCACCTTCATAAAGTCAACACAATCAACATTCCATCTACGCATTCAAGAGATAATGCCAAACATATAATGATAACAAACAAATAAAGCTGAATTTCATTTCATATCGACAGAGAGAGGGACCTCCGAGTGCTCTCAGAGCCTCATGGGAAATCTGTACGCCGCTTCAACAGCTCAGATCCAGTCTCTGACACGTCGTTCATGAGAATGCATCTTTCCAGAAAACTTTTATTCCAAGATAAACTTCTCCAGGCTGAGCGAATGCTCCCATGGGATGAGTGTCTTTGAGAACACAGATGTTCACAGTATCCTCTGCGATTAAAGCAGCCGGCGTCCAGGCCACGTTACTTCAAACATATCATAAACCATAGTATATGTACAGCAGCTAAGCTATAAATTTTGTTTTATTTAGTCTAGCTTGAATGAATCTAATAAAAACACGCCCAGGTCTCAGGAAAACAACAACAAAAAAAACACTTTTAATTAAGTGAAGTGTAATTACGCACCTTTTACCCAATAAACTACTTTGTATTTCATTACTGAAATGCATCCAGAACATTAAATTTAGTAGTTTTTGGACTGTTTGTTTTAAAATGGACTAATCTGTTAGTGTATTGTTATTATAATTTTTTTTTTTTTAAACTATGGAAGTAATGACTTTTTTTTTTTTTCAATCAGCAAAAAATAAAGCCAGTACAATATATACTACCATGTTGATTCTTTTTTTTTTTAA